TCTTCTGTCTTGGGTATTACATTTATCATTAAGAAAGATTAAAAGAAACACCTATTATAAAGTTGATTTTCATCATGATAAAAATAAATTTTGGTTTTTATGCTATAAATAACAATTATAGGTCTTTTGTTAGGCTTTCATTCATGTAAAAAAAATCTCAAACAAATAATTATAACTCAAGATATTACGTTAAAAAATCATGACTCTCACTATAAAATAACTTGTCATTTTTATCAAATCATCTGCTCCGGATTGATTTTCATCATAATGAAAATGGATTCTAGCTTGTATGTTATAGGCAACAATTGTAAAAAAAAAATTCCAAAATTTTCAATGTGCAAAAAATATTTTAAATGGATAACTATAACACAAAACATTGTAAACCCATGAACTTTAACATAATAGCTATAGTTCAAGATTTTTCTTTTTTCTTTTATTTTTTCTTTATTTTTGACAATTTTTCACATAAAAGGTGTACTATTTGTCTTGTTCAAAGAAAACTAAATAAGTGGGTAATTATAATTGATAAACTCAAAGCTATCAAACACATAGTTTGGAGCTATCAAACACATAGTTTGGAGCTATCAAACACCTAGTTTGGAGCTATCAACACCTAACTCAAAGTTATCAACAGCTAGTTCGGAGTTACCAACAATTAACTTAAAGCTATCAACAACTAGCTCGAAGCTAATAGGCAATTTGCTTTAAGCGAACAAAATTTGCTTAGAGCAACTAAAATTCACTCTAAACAACCCAAATTAGAAAACATCTTTGAACAACCACAAGCTCGCTGTGAACAACTCCCAGGGCCCTCTAAGTAACTAAACCCAACAAAAAGGCATGACTTCGAGTAAATCCAGCAACTTAAGAACAACCTCAAATCCTCTCAACCCATATAATAATGCATGCATGCAAACACATAATCTTCTAGTTATAATAAAATGCAACTCATAATTTGAATAAATGAGACATGCAACAACCACACACCAATTTGTCATCATCAAACCTCCCCTTCTTCACCAAGAACACCAAGGATCCACAAAATACAACACCCACCCCCAAAATCAAATGTACTAGCAAACTTTCAACAAGATTCAAGGTACATGCAGTACCACAATCTACTAGGATCAATTTTTAGCTCCCCTTACATTAACTCTAAGCCAATCAATAATGGAGAAGAGGAAGAAGGGAGAAAAAAATGGTTCCAAGCTTCTCACCTACACCAGTGATCCCGAGCTTAAAATGTTTGAAGTAACAATTGATCACTAGCAACACGATTCTAAGACTCCCGAAGAAACTAAAAGAAAAGATGAAAAGGGGATTCAACACCAGAGACTCTCTAACCCACCACATGCCACTCAAACAACATAAAACCAAGTCAAGCAAATTGTTGATCCAACAAGTACGGCGTCACAAGCATAACTTTCTAAAAAAAAAAAAAGCAACTATTTATTTATACCTTATAATGTCACCAGATCAAGAGTCACTAAAGAAAATTGCCATTAAAATTTTGTGTCGCTAATATGAATGACGGTAAATAATTTTTTTCACAATTTTATAGGAATTGCATTCATTTCTTATAGTGAGTACATAGGTGTTTTCTTTTACCAAAATATATACTAAATGGAAAGGTTATCGAAGTGGACAAAAATTTCTTCGTATACATGACTATAAATCAATAGAACACGTAGTGCAACTTGTTGGTGATACATAGATGCTTTTCTCCTTAATGAATGAGATATGTGAATTTTTTACCAAAATATTATTTTTTTTTAAAAAAATTACAAGATTAACAACTGTGCAGGTTTATTTACCACACTAGAACCATTTACTGTACATGCTCAGAATTCGGTTCCCGAGGAACCGAATTCTGAGCTTCAAAGTGTATTTTTTTTTGTTTTTTAAACTCAGAATTCGATTCCCGGGGAACCGAATTCTGAGTTGGTTATATATTTTTTTTTTTTCGTGTTGGTGAGAAATTTGGGCAGATTTTGGAAGTGGAACGGCCCGTTCCGAAATCAGAACGGGCCGTTCCGCTTAAGCCCACAGAGTGAATTTTTTGAAATTGAAACGAGCCAAGAACGGGCCGTTCTTAACTCTGGAACGGCCCATTCTTGGCCCGTTTCAATTTCAACAAATTCACTCTGTGGCCTTAAGCGGAACGGTCCGTTCTGATTTTGGAACGTCCCGTTCTGATTTCGGAACGGGCCGTTCCACTTCCAAAATCTGCCCAAATTTCCCACCAACACGAAAAATAAAAATATAAAACCAACTCAGAATTCGGTTCCCCGAGAACCGAATTCTGAGTTGAAAAAACAAAAAAAATTACACTTTAAAGCTCAGAATTCGGTTTCCCGAGAACCGAATTCTGAGCATGCACAGTAAATGGTTCTAGTGTGGTAAATAAATCTGCACAGTTGTTAATCTTGTAATTTTTTTTTTAAAAAATAATATTTTGGTAAAAAATTCGAGATATGTCCCCATTTGCTGGATCTGGTAAACCTCCGTTTACATTCACGTAATGCCGTTTGTAATTTTGAGTATTGCGTTTGACCACAATTGAACGCAAAGTGTCTTTGTCCAAATATTGTTCTCGCATTTTGAGGGGTTAGTTTTCCATTTTCACAACAATTTTTCCAATTTATTCTTAATTACAATAATTTATCAAATATTATATTATACTCATTTTGGTAACGTCGTATCTAAACCTATATCAGTTTCCTTACCATCAATTTTACTAAAATCGATTCTTACGCAGTTAAGCGTGTGTTTGCTTATACGTTGAAAACGTGGAAAACCACGTTCAACGTAGAAGCTACGTGATTTTCCACGTTTTCAACATATAAGCAAACACACGCTAATATTACCTAATTTTAAAACAAATCGACACATAATCTAATTGTGCATGCGTAAATGATTTGTCTTTTCTTCGGCAAAAACGAAAAATTATAGCAAAACTTTGCAACAAAAAGAATGGTGTGAGAAAGCATCAAAACCCTATTTCGAAAGAATTGTTCAAATAATAGTTCTCTACAAAAGCAATGGCATCAACCGAGAGAACCCTTTTCTTTCGAACTCCGTTCTACTAAACGCATACCTCATCAATTATGTGAACTATTATTGGATTTTCCTTTAACTATATTTATAATGTTATATATATGAGGTGAAACAATTTCTTACTCTCAGAACATATGGAAATAAAATAATGTTTGGTGCACTTAAACACCAAATTCATCAACTCGCATCGATTGATCTATATATAGTAGCTGAATCTAAGTAAAAAATAAAATGAAACCAACTATAATTAAATGATTAAAGCTATATGTAGATACAAAGTATTATTATTATTATTCATGGAAGTATGCTTCCTTTCGCGAATACTTTTAAGTCAGGTTTATTTTTATTTTTATTCTTTCCGGCTTTTCTTGATGCTTTTAAATCGTGAAGGATAATTTTTGTTCCATCTTTCTTGTTTTCACTGTAAGCCATATGTATTTGTTAAAAACATCAATTTACACGAGGACGTAAAAGGATATTCGTTAAACAATAAACCATTACAAAGTTGGATTCTTTTGTTTGTAATAACACAAAAAGATAACAATATCCATATCAACAGAGGAAAATCGCATTTTTCGCATCTTATTTCATTCTTAAAAAATGTTTAATATAACATAAAGATGTTTTTTCATATTGGGAGGAAAGTAGATATAACTAATGTTCCTTGCGAAGAAATAAACTTAAGAGTAACTTTATGCTATTAAATATTATACGCAATTGGTTTACAAAGGCAACAAATAGCATAGTATCTACTTTCTGTTAAGAAATAAATCATCACCGAAGAAGCTCAGAAAATTATCCTTCGGCAACACACTTTTATATGTCTTATCAATAGGGTTATTTTTTGTTGTTACATCTATCAATAGGGTTATTAAGATTTAAGGTATTATTCTCGAGCTAAATCCATTAAGAATTAAGATTCAAATACCTAATTTATCGATATCTTTGCAGAGAGCCTCCCTACGCTTAGGTATACCAGTGTATTCACTATTTAAAAAATTCCAAATTATTGTTTGGATTTCGAAATTAAAAAAAAATGCAAGTATTATTGTGGTTCTATTATCTTTTAGGTCAATAGTTTAACGAGTTTGAAAACACAGACACAATGGAGAGAGTTTCTTGATAGTTGAAAGTAGAAGGCCTTGCACATAGCGTGAGTGATGGAGAGTGAGAAAGCAATGGAGATTAAACAAGAGGAAGAGGAAGAGGAATGGGATTAGAATGTGATTTATTGTATGATCTGATTGGCATAATTTATGTACAAAAAAAGGGGGGGAAAAGAGTGAGTTGTAATGGGTAAAGTAAGAAGCAGATCCATGAAGAAAGCATAAGCACCAACCAGTTTTGAGATGAGGTCCAATGCTATATGAGAGAGGATCCAAATAACTTACAACAACACAACCACCACACAAACCTCGATGCTATAATACTCTACAACACCACAATAATCTAACAACTCGGAAACATTAATTAATTAAACGAGAGCCAGGAAGGAGGATTATACCGGGCAGATCCATCAGAGGCAGAGAGCCGTCGCAGGGAGGTCATCAGGCGGAGGGAGGTTCAGATCGAAGGGCAGCGGTTGCCGGAAGGAGGAGGTAAGGACGCAGTCCTCGTCGTCGTCCACCACGGAGGAGGAGGAATCGCAATCGCTGTGGCAATCGTCCAGAGGGGGAGCGATAGGGTTGACGGGCCTGCGAGGGTGGATGGTGTGAGAAGAGGGAACCCTAGGCCCGCTGAAGGACTCCACGGTGCTGCTCATGCCGCTGGTGGTGGGTCGGTTCACCTGGACCACGGGCTCGAACTTGGAGAAGCCGTGGGCCTGGTAGAGGGGAATCTGGTCGGGCTCGGGGCTGGGGCTGGGGCTGGGGAAATTGGTTTTGGCTTTGGGCCCGCGGAAGGATCGGGCGGCGTTGTCGTAGGCCCGGGCAGCATCCTCGGCGGAATCGAAGGTGCCGAGCCAGACGCGCGCCTTCTTCCAGGGATCTCGAATCTCGGCTGCGAAGCGGCCCCAGGGGCGCTTCCTGACGCCGCGGAAGCGCGTCTCCTTGGGCGGAGGGTGGTGGTGGGCGGCGGCGGCTCTCCCTCGGCGCATCTGGGTGTGGAGGGTGCGGAGAGTGGTTGTTGGGAGGAGGAAGAACCACCAGGACGGTAGGTTTATTGCTCTTAATCCATTTTTTGTTTCCAATAAGCAATGGATTGTGGAATTACATGATTGCCCTTGTTCCCAGTTTTGTCCTTGTGCGGTGCTGTGACGTGATTATTGTGGGGGAGTGTTAGGCGTTTGGCTGTCGTAATTATTGTTGTTATTGCCCATTTTTCAGACCACAGGTGCCACTTCTCTACCGCCTTACACTTACACGCTTACATTTTCTTTCCACCAATCTCCCTCCTTTTTTATTAACTCAACCAATCGCCTACTTCTACTTCCCTCACCCCACATTTTTTTCATCATAAAACCTCCATTTTTCTTTTTCTTTTTCTTTTTTAAATCTCTTCACAATCATATTACTTTCATTTTTATTTTTACATCACAATCACTTCTTCACTAATATCTAATAAACCAACCAAAAATGTATATTTTCTAAATAATAAAATAATATCTTTGGTCATTATTAATTAATTCACTCATGTTCATATTTTTAGTTATTTCATCATCATTTGAGAATTCATAACTTTTAACAATATAATTAATATATTTGAGTTTCTTATATACAAGTTAGATAATCTCAAATCAAAAAAGTCAATAAATTATTTTGAAAAATGTAAACTTCGATTAACAATAATAATGTAATCTTTGGAAAGGGAGTGCAGTTATACTCATTTTTTCCATCTCATCTCTCAAGTCTTTTCTTTCTTTATAACATACTCTCTTTTTTTTTCAAATCTCAAATCTCTATTATATGTCATTCTTTCAGAACTTAAAGACTTTCATTTAATTTAATGATTCAATATTAAGATTAAATGCTTGTGAGAATGTCTTCCACTTATCAAAACTCAACATAAAGTAAGGAGACATATTTTTTCCTTTTTTCCATTTTTGAGAGCAATGTACACACAAGTTTTTGTGAAAGGTCAAAGTTTTTGTCAAGCATTTGTTAAGCATGACTTAATCACCAACATGAACTCTTTTAGATTTTATTTTTAACATCTTTAATTCTATGTTTTTAATGTTGTGTTTTCTAACTCTAGCATAATAGAAATATGAATTTTCTTGAATTTGTCATTTTATGCTTTCTTGTAGCTTTATCATTCTTGATTTTGTTTGAAACGATAAAAAAAAATTTCAAGTCAATGTAAATTTTACTCAAGCCTTTTTATTTATGCTTGAATCCTTTTATTACTATGATTTTTATATCAAAAACAATTTTTTACTAATATGTAATGAAACTATCAAAAATAAAAATTGTTTGATATTATTTTGATTTTTTTTCTAAATATACTCGTCAAAGACTGTTATGAACACCCAAGAATATAATTATCCATTACATGTTTAATTATTTAAACTTAAAATTGATCTCAATTAAAATAATATAATTATCCTTTACATGTTTTTCTATGTTCAAAATGTTACATGACAAAGCTTTTGTTCGCTTAACTTAAATTTGCTTTAGTTATTAGTTTATTACCTGCTATTGGAAAGTTAAATCTAAAAAATTCTGAAAATCTATGAATTGGAAACTAATAAAGAAAGCCTAGAAAGATCCAATAGCATGGTTTTAATTATAGTGCGTATGTTGTGAATTTTTAATCTGGAATTGTAAATTATCCATTGGGTTACTTAAATCATGATTTGCAAACTATAATATATAAATAAAAAGTTAATTATCTATACACTGTCAGTGTAAAGTTTTTTTACACTAACAGTCAATCAGAGCTATTAATAGTACCTTTTCATCTGCTCATTTAATTAAATTAAAATAAAAAAATGTATTATTAACAGCTCTGATTGATTATTAGTATAAAACTTTTTACTAGCAATTTATGGGTGATTAACTCATAAATAAATATGCTATACAAAGTTAAAAAGTATCTGAAGTAATTTTCTCCTAGTTTACATGAATTAAGATATTTAGTTTTCCACACACTAAATTTTCTAGTGGGCTGGGTAGAGCTCTGGCCCAAAAAATGACTTACATTTATATATATTAAATTTGAATTTCTAGTCACATGAATGAACTCATAGCCAATACCTAAAATAGGAATCTATTTCCATATTATAAATAACGAGCATTATTTTACACTATAACATTAACAGCATAACCTAAACATGCGTATATTTAAATCGGTCCATCATGGGAGCAAGCACATTTAAGTGCCATATCTAATCTTAGAAATTGTGGCTATTCTCATTTGCATTCATAAAATCCTAGAACAAACATACTCCTAAATTCTTGAATTTAGTAGCTTAAATTTATTCAACTTCAATTTAGGAGAATTTGAACTACATTTTCATACATTTACGTCATGGTTAAAAATAGCAGATGCACATTTATGCCTAGTTATTGGAAGCGAGGCTCAAAATCTTGCTTTATAAATTAAATTAAATATTCTTTCCTCGGAAAATATACATTTATGACAAATTTATTATTTTAACATCAAATAATTTATTTGATATATTTCCTTCTCCGAAAGAAAAAAATGAATAAAAGATGAGGAAGTTAATTGAACCCGGGTAGGGAAAACCAACGGAAGACGTTACATTTCATTGTCTTTAAAAAGGAGATTTCTAAAGAGAAACCCAAGTTTCCATAACACTAGTATAATTTTTTTTCTTTTTATAATTAAGACATGATAAAAGGAGAAGGAGAAGTATATATTAGAATTGGATAAGGTAAGTAATGTAATGGAGCAAACTAAGATAAAAAAATATATAAAAAGTATATGTAAGAATGATATAATTCTAAATGACATGGATTTTTTTTAATAAATAAAGGAAATTGGTGAGGAACTCAAGAGTTAGATAAGTGTTTGAATTCTCTCTAATATTATTTGATCCAACCTCTGTAAATTCTTTTAATTGAGTGTAAGTGACACATTTTTATTTCATTTTTTTGTGTTAGTTAAAGTTTATTGAAAATTTAATTTACGAGAGAAGTTCTTTAAATAATAAATGAGACACACATTATGATTTATAACAAAATTCAACTAATAATCAAAAGAGTGTCGCATAATCTTAAATTGCATGACTTAACTACTAATGATTGACTTTGAACTGATATACTCTTATGATTTGCCTTTTGTAACCTTTACAATAAAACTCTTATTATGATTTAAATGAGATTCAAACTTTTATACTTTAGCCACAATTTTTCCTTTAGAAGATAGAAAACTTCAATTAAATACAACACCATTTCATATTAAGATAAATTTTTTTATAAAGAATCAATACAAAATATAAAGATGTAGCTCGACATTCTTTCACATGAAGTTGACATGATTCCTGTGTTTCATTTATTTGATTTTTCATCTAGTTATTATTGGCCTAGGCAACCCTATATATTTGAGATGAATTAGATATTTGATTACGAAATCACCCAAAATTACATAGTTTGAGGAAGGTTGTTTCATTGAGTATTTTTCATTCCATGTTGTTTGATAGTAATAACAAGCTAATTTAGAGTTTATTTTTAATATTTTTTAATTATTGATCAAGCTCAAGATGAAGTTATGATTGTAGTTGATTTTGATGATTACAAATGAGTTTATTGAGAAATAAAAGTGCAATTTGTACTTGATTTTGAGTTTTGAGTTTCTTAATAGATAAGAGTGCAAGTTGTATTTTATTTTATATGATTTTAAGCTTTGTTGTTTGTTTATTTTGTATTTGATAAGTAACTTAACATTTTCTCTCTATCTAGATGATGATTGATTATTAAAATAAGTTATAAAATTGAACTGTTAAGAGAACTTAAATGAAAAATCAAGATATCAAATTTTCACTGAAAACAGTTGATTATTTCAAGTAATAATCGATTATTTATTACATTTTTTAGTTACCCGAGGAGTAGTTACTATAATAATCAATTATTCAATAAAATACTTGATTATTTTAGAAACTAGTTTTTTGAATAATCGATTATTGTTTAAAATACTCGATTAAATTATTCTTGGTTGATTTTTAGAATTGTTAAGAATCAAATAATCAATTGTCCATATAAATAATCGATTATTTCAATCAAAAAACTTATATATATATATATATATATATATATCATTTTCACACCTTTAATTGAGAGACTTGATTTTTTATAGTATTTTTTTCAAAAATATTATTTGAGAAACATTTTTCTTTACAAGAAGAAGTTCTTTAACTTCTATGATAACCTCAAAAAAGTTTTCAAGAATTGAATTGATCACTATGTTTATGAAGTGAAAGGTTAAGCTACATGATTGATTCATCTACTCTGATATGTTTTGTATACCAAGTGAATTTGTTCCTTAAACTTTTATTTTTTTTAAAATAAGTTTCTTAAGAAGGGAGAATCTTATATCGAAGTGTTACAAGTGAATGCTTCTTAGGATACAATAAGTGATTTCTTTAGTAGTGTGAAAGTGTGTTGTATGTGATATTGTGATTGTAAAAAATCTAATATTAAAGATTAGTGAAAATTTTAATTAGGTTGATGGAGGGTTGGATGTGAGTCACAAGTGAATGTGACTAAACCAATGTAAATTAGTTGTGCATTTTTCTCTTTCTCTATACTTGACTTTACATTATTGCATTTCCATTTTTATGCTTATTGTTATGTGTTGTGAGACATGAACATTACATTAAAAATTGAGTGAACTTATAATTATATTAAATCTAAATTAAGTGTCCAATATATATCTATAAATCAAAACACCTCTTTAAAAAGATTTTTAAAAAAATTAAAATCAAGATAATTGGGCAAGAGATTTTTAATTAACCAATTTACCCCCTTAATTAAACCATCTTTTTAACACAAACTACATCTTTAAGGAATGTCATTTATATTTTTTCAATTTACATTTTACATTTCTTATTCAAAGGTCAGACTTTATGTTAATTAATGCGACTTAATGTTTTTCTGAACCTTATTCAATTGACCTTTGACATTTCGTCTTCCAGTTCTCCCAAAACTTTCCTAACAATAGTTGATAAGAGAATTAAACAATAGATGAAATTGTATCAAAATGTAGTGGCTATTTGTTTATTTATTATTTTAGACATAATTTAACCTATATAATTTATCAAAGTAAGCTCTTTTAGTCCAAACGTACTATTACATTTAAAATACAGAATATATTTAAATATAAATTTAGAAACATTTTAAAGAAGTTTTTTAATTATTTTTTTTTAATTTCAATA